TAAGAGGTCTTATACCTAATTTGGCACAACTCCGGGACATACCAGCAGCTTTCGTGCAAATGTACTGTCGCATAGCTGCACACAAGTTTTTCTTCTTTTGTGATCCCCATAAACGAGGTTGACGCTCAAGTCTTTCTTAATTTTTCTAAACGATTTCACACGGTTGCATTCAGGATTTCCAACCTTTTATATGCTGGTTTTTTTGGTTCATGTTGTTTCTACATTTGTTTTCCTTTTACAAGTCTAGTAATGCTGTCAGCCGCATGGAGTTGCATAATTTGTGTGTTGCGAATGCAAGTATATACATATTTTGATTTGTAACACTTAGGCTCTAGAGGCTACTTCGGAGCAACTGCATTTAATTGCTTTTCCTTGGTTATCAACTTATTAGCTATGAAGCACATGCACTCGTACTAAGACGGCATGTCTGGGTCTCACACATGCGGCATTGTGTCAGACACCGATGCCCCTCAGACACTCTAAGACATGTGTCTGACAAGCCACGCACCATGAATTTTTCATATATATTTCTTTTAAATTTTCAACAATCGAGAGAAACTTTACGGACACTCCTCTGGCAAGTGTCCATCATGCCATGCGGTGTCCTATTTAAAAAAAGAAAAAAAAATTATATATACAATTTAAAAAAAAAATACAAATGACATGTCCGTGTCCATAAAAATCACATGTCGGCGTGTCATGTCCGTGTTTCTTAGGTTATTGGGATTAGGCTGTTAATATAATGCATTAACTGACATTTTATTTTACAATGGTGTTTGGAATTGCCATGATTATCATCAGGCAAGGCGTGCATAAAGAAGGTTCTACTTAGTAATTGCCTCCAGGAGCTAATGGAACTACACCAGGTATATTATTGATGTTACTTTTTGTAATTGCAAATAATTCCAAGATATAGATGTCAGTAATTTTTCTTTATGACGTAGTGATATGAAATCCACACGAGTTTCTGTGTTAGGATATTGTATTAAAAGCGGTTTCCACGTAACAAGAATCTGATGCTTTTTATGTGTTATGTCCACAATATTAAATCCATGAAAAATCAATTTACACCATCAATAAATTCTCTTTTCCCTCATTTTGTTGTGCAAAGCAGCTGGTACTTCTCACAAGGTTTATCTTGACCGTCCATTTATGTGCTGTGTAAAAGTCCAAAACACTGTTGTTCCTTCGCATTTCAGTTGGGAGTTAATATTTGCATTTTCCTTTTCACCTGCATGTAGGAAAGTGAGGAAGAAGTCACTGATACTGAACAAGCTGAAAACTGGTTCTCGTTGACATCTGCACAGCGCATATGTGGTTAGTACTACAGCTGTGCAAAGTTTTGAATTTTGATATTTGTCAGGTACCTGATGTCATTTTACTAGCCTTGCCGCTGTCACTGGAATTTATTGGTGTATATGCTGCATTATTAGGCATTGCATATAATAACTTTATTAAAAAATTTGCTTTATGGATGGGTTGGTTTATTGCCTCTTCTATCATACTTGTCCACAATTGAGAACCATTGTCAATCTCTTATTACCATCTAATTGTTACAACCATTGTATTTGGAACTAAAGAAAATGATCTAAATTTGCAGATATGTTTCTTGCTCTTGACAAAGATATGAATGGAACTTTGAGCAAGCAGGAGCTTCGAGAATATGCAGATGGGACACTAACAGATATTTTTATTGAGAGAGGTAGAAACCAACTCTAGTGTCTGCTATCTCCCTTCATTTTCCCTCTTCCTGGAAGAAAATCTATCAAACTACTCGTGTGTTCATGTTCCATTTTGAGTCACTATTTTTTTTTCACTACTAAATGGACCAATGCACAGTGAATCAACTGCATTTTCTGTGAAAAAGGACTTTGACCTGTGCGGAAGACTATCTCGTGTTATATGCCCATTGCAATTGATTTATACAAAATTCCAAGTATAAGCCTGCACTAAAGACCAATTGTAGGTCAGTTATACATCTGAAGTTAGAAAAATAACAGTTGGACCCCTTCTTTTGGTTGTTTTAAAAATGTTTTTGGTACTGTAGTGGATTGTGATAAGGGAATTTTAAGCTATTTCTTAGCACACCCGAACACACTAATTCCTGCTTATGTCTATTGAGTTGGAACTGCAACCATATTTTCATTTTTTCTTTTGGGAACTATTGGTTTTATTTATTCTTAATATTTTCTCCTTTTCTAATATCATTGTAAATCATTTACGAACTTCTTATCCTTGTTTCTCAAATAATTTCGAATTGCCTCCTCAGAGAGATGTAAATAACCATCTTATAAGGAAGTTTTATGCTCATCTAAGTAAATGAATAGGCTCTTCTATTCTTTACCGCTGCTTATTGTTCGAATATCTGACCTATTGGTATGTAGGCCTCATTTTATTTAATGTGTTTGTGCCTTACATTTACGGAACTTAATACTTCTTTCATTATTTTATACATATAGTTTTCGATGAACATGTCCGGCGTGGAAAAAACGGAGGTGGTAATTCTCGGGAGATGGATTTTGAAAGTTTTCTCGACTTTGTTCTGGCACTGGAAAATAAAGACACTCCAGAGGGATTAACTTATTTGTTTCGCTGCCTTGATCTCCATGGAAGGGGATTTCTCACAACTGCTGATACTCATACACTGTTCAGGTAACTTGCTTTTTGGCATTGAAGTCACGTGTATCTTTCTGGGTTTCTCTAATGCATATTTGGTGCATTGGACTGGAAAATATTGTGCAGAGTCTAACATTGCATGCCAAATATGCTTTTAAATGTGCTTCTTCAGAAGATACAGAAATCCTTCCTCGGTTCCTTGTATAAAATGTTTATGATTTAAGTTGCTCTTTGACACTAATCATCTTTAGGACTCTACAGAGTAAAAACTAACGCGGAAATAATGGAGGGCGACATTGAGAGGATTGTGATGTTTTCTAATTCATCTTGAATTAAAAAAATAATAGTTTCCAGCATGAGGTTCTTGAGCAATTTCTACGAGTCTTAAGTCGACAAATACAAGAACCCACCTAAATCGAAACCTTTTCGAATATATGCATGAGAGTTTGGTCACTGATCTTGTTTTTAATCATGTTTAGTTAATACAAATTTATGTAAGATTGAAAATGGATATTCTTTTGCATCACGAAACAGGGATGTTCACCAGAAATGGATTGAGGGAGGTAACTACGAGCTGTGTATTGAAGATGTAAGGGATGAAATCTGGGATATGGTGAAGCCAGCCGATCCATTGAGAATAACACTGGCTGATCTACTGGCTTGCAAACAGGGCGGGACAGTTGCAAGTATGCTTATAGATGTACGTGGATTCTGGGCCCA